AATTCTGGATATAAGTCCCTTATATGATATGTTATTACCGAATACTTTTTCCCAGTCAGTGGCTTCCCTTTTTACCCTACTGGAGAAGTTTTTGGATGTGCATAAATTAGAGGTTCTAACTCTAGAAGTAGGCCACTGAAGCTCCCTTTAAAAAAAATGCTTAAAACAAACAAACAAAAAAAGATGCCTTACATATTCAGCAAATGTCTGGAGAGGTTCTCTGGAAAGTGCCCCATCTAGGCGGGGTTGTGCAAATGAGACATAGCGCTCAGCCTTCCAGGGTGAACTCCTTCCAGAGGCTTCAGGGCCGGTGGGTATCACATAGCATGGAACAGGGGTAGTCTGTGTCGATGCTGGTTTGAGTCCTGTCCAGACCGGAGGTCCCTACTTCCTCTAGCAGAAGGCCATGTTGTGGCTGGAGGATCGGGGGCTGAGCCTGCTTAAGGAATCATCACATTAAGCAATTCTGCCTGGAAAGAAACTTAACAGGAACCAAGTGTTCACTGCAGAAGTGTGTGGGTGCAGGATATTAAGGGAAACATCTGCCTTGTTTCATAGGGTTTTCAAAGGCCAGTTATTTCATAAGTGGATGGTCAGCCCTTGCCAGTCCCAATCTAAAAGCTTCCCTGTAACCAGTCCATCACAGGTGACCTGCTGGTTTAAAAATACTGGTCACACAGCTTCCAGCATCCCAGCACCCAGTTAGTTACCCCAGTACAGCAACTGACAGAGAAGGACTATTCGCAAGAGCAAACAAGGAGCACACAAACATCCACATCCACAAACGATAAAGTAAGGAACACCACGCAGGCCATTTCTCTCAACATGACAAACTGGCAGACCAATGCTGTACCCCTAACAACAAACCCTACAAACAAGCGAGCAAGCGAGTGGATCTCAAGCAGAATCCTCCTGAGTCTGCTGACTTCTCCCAGCAAAGATGGTCCTGGTCACTCTGGCTGGCTGCTTCTGGTCACAAGATGACCCCAGCCACCCTCCGATGGCCCCGTTGTCTGGCTGGTGGCTGCTCCCAGATGGCACATTGTTTTCTGGGAAAGGGACATCATTCTTGGAAAGGTGGAAAGTTATTTAAAGAAAGATCCTCAACTAAATGGGTTGACACACTGGCTGGAGCAGTGGGCTCATGTACATCAGAAATGATTGGTGGGGGGGAGGTGTACAGGATATAGGACAAGGTTCAGATCTGTCAGAAGATCGCTATGAGTCTTACCCGATGACGCTTAACAACAAATCTGCCTTGTGATTTTCTGCTCTCAGATCTGGTTCTGGCTGCCCTGTCTCAAACCCATAATGCACTGTGGCGCGGGACTTCCTGGGGCAGTTCACTCTGTCCTGTGTGGCTGCTCCAAATTGGAACCTATTGACAGCAGTCTGTTTATCTTCGGTTTGGGTTTCAGTGCATCACAATGTGTTACTCCCAACCACTCCCAAGGGATGCAGTGGTGCCCATTTTGCAGGTGGGAAAACCAAGGCTCAGAACCAGGTGACTGCGGAGTCCAAGCATCTATTTGTCAGTCTCTGGGAGACCCAAGAGCCTGCCTGGCATCTTTCAGCTTTTGTAAAGTCTGGGGACATTTGGGGATGACTAGCAGTCATTTCTCTGTTAGATGCAGCTTGTCAACCAGTATGAGGGGCTCTGTCTAGCTCTGCAGGACAGCAGGCCTCTGTCCTCTGGAGATGGCCACTCCCCCTCCCTTCTTCCACTCCATGAACCCCAGAGCCCCTCTTTTCTGGAGTTGAGTGGTGGGTTCAGGGGTGGCTGAGCTCTGGGAGTCCCTCTGGGAGGGAGCCATTCACAGAGGGTGGGCAGGCTCTGGTGGTGGAAACCTGTCTGCATCCTCACCTTCCAAGGCCACCCCCAACTCTTCCCTGCTTATCTCCCTCTCAGCTCCCCCAAAAGCTCTGGGATCCACCTGACTAATTGGACCTTCTCACCTAAAACTCCTCCTGTCACCTCCTCCCTGGACCCTGTCCTGGTGTTCTGTCCTCCTGACTGCAGTGAGAACAGTATCCAGAGTCCCCAAAGCCTAGCTGAGCTGGTGGCACTAAGGCAGACATGGTGTCCATGTTAAAGTGACCAGAACTGCTGGTTGACCAGAGGGCAAAGCTGGGGATGTCAGATCCACAGGATGACTCTCAGAGGGACTGGGGGGGGGGGCTGGATGCACCAGGAGCATATAGGCAGCCTCCTGGGGAGCTTAGTCCTGTCCATCTGAGATTCCAACACAGAGCACCCTTCCATCTCCTCAGCATGGATTCTGTATTTGACTTTGTTCTTGGGGTAAGGTGGTGGTGATTCTTTGTCAGCTGATGGGAGAGAGAGGAAGAGATTATAGGCTCATGGGAAGGGGTGGAGTCCCCCTTCCACTCACAGCTGCACCAGCACCTCTCATGCTGGGAGGAGGGAGAGATCCACTGAAGCAATGGGATCCCTGGCACCATGAAACCACAGTCCCTGCACAGAGCCTTCAGTTCTCACCCTCCTGAGGGCTGTGAACTTCAACAGCTTGTGCGATGTGACCAGCGGAGGGAGAGGGCAGGGTCTTGGGGTCACAGGATGAGTCCAGGTTGAAATCCCTACTGCCACACAGTCCCTCCCACTCCTGGTGCACCCCCAGGAATGGGCTCTTGTGCTCAATCTGAGGGACCCCTGGCTCTGGCTCCCCCAAACCCTGATGAGCTCTGTGGTCAGTGGAGAATGTGCCCGGAGACAGGCCACAGGAAGCAAGGCCCTGGGACACAGCACAAAGGGACTGAGGGAGCCGCCGTTCCCCAAACCTGGTTGGACCTAATGAGGAACTTAAAGGAGGGGGGCTGCTGAGCTCCTCAGGATGCCAACACAGCAGAGGATGTGGGCATGGGACTGGTGTCTTTTGTGGGGGCTAATTATCAATTTGTTAAGGGCAGGAGGGAGTGCTGGACAGCAACATGGGGCACCCTCTGAGAGCTGGCTGGAAGCAGGCTCTCAGTTCTCCATGCCCCAACCCCAAGAGACCCCACCACACCCCGGCCACCCTTTGCCCCGCCGGTCTGGCTCCTGTTCCGGCTGGAATAACCAGCCTGGTGCAGGGTGCCCAGCAACCAACAGGTGGGCCGGAGCCACTTCCGAGCGCTGATGGGTGCATGAGATCAAGGGCTCCCACCAAGAGATGAGGGCAACAAACAGAAGGGAAGTGGCCCTCAGTGTGGGGAGGTCAGAGCCTTGAGGGGCCTCATGAAACCCACACATGGAGACTCAGCCCCTCTGGAGGGGCAGGAAGGTGGGCTGGCCATCTCGTTCAACTTCTCATAAAATATCAATCAGCAAATGAGGGAGTGCCAAGCACAGGCCAGGCACAGGGACTGAGCAGGCACATGTCCCGGGGAGACTCTCTGGGCAGCCTGAACTCTGGGGTGTGGCTCCTCAGACACACCCAGCACCAGCTGGGGAGACAAGAGGCAAGACCATGGGCAAGGTCCAAATAGGGC